AAACCTATGAATCCTTAAAAAGAATATAACTGCATTATAGAGGGTTATTTCTTATAGTTGTTATTGATCAAAACAATCATGTTTCTCATCTATGTAGAGCTCATCAGAATATAAGCTAGGATTCTCATTGAATCTAGTTAAATTATCTCTTCAAAATCTCATAAATCTACCATATATCCATGCATGGAAGTACTACATTCTATGTTATCTAATTTCTCTTCTATTCCATCTTTTCAAGCTCAAGATCATACTATATTTTGAATTTATATAAGGCCTATACATAAATCAACTTAAGTTTAAAGAAAATAAAAGCATCGTGGATATAATAAATAATAAACTCTACTCTAATCAACACATGCATATTAATTCATCACATATTCATAATAGTTACTTAGCTACACATAGAGGTGTTGAAACTCATAACAAACACAATAAATATCACAAATATTTTATTATATTAATGTTTTCACAATTACAAACACAAGATACTATGGGCTCTAAAAATTTGTGCCCCCGCCTCTCCACTTTCAGGAGAGTTTTAACGGTGTTATGAGTCAAATTTTTAGAAGGTAGTTTGAATTTGAGTTTAAGATAAAGCACTACCTAGAGATTTTATCATCATTTCGTGAGAACTTTATAATCTGGTTTAATGTTTCCAATTAATTACCCCTCTTGACGGCGAGAGAGAACTTTGGATTAAGGCTAATTATTATGTAGAAACAAAGTACCTAGCATATAGTAGCAACATGTAAAATTTTTTGGAATTTTAAAATTAGTTATTGTATACTTAAAGCTGATGGTGTATGAAATAATGACAAACCCAAACAATATCATATGATTATGTTGTCTCATACCATCATGTTCCTTAGTCTACTTAATCAGAGGAGATGGTCAACCCAACATGACCAAAGGATCTTTGTTAGCAGTCATTAGTTGGTTTGTCCAGTAGTACCTTGTAGACTTAGGAAAGATGTTTCTTTTAGGAGACAAATTTTAGCCAACCTTAGCTAACAGAAAGCTTTATATCTTAACGAGTGCATACTATATATGATTCTTTACTCAATGAGCTTTTAACCATTGTGAAACATGTAGGCTTTGACCGTATTCATGATATAGTTGTGCTATTTTGTAGCAAAATTGCCCATTCAAAGGGCATGTGTCACATCCCTGCTAGCGAGAAGTTGTTTGAGAATAAATCGTGGTGAAAAATTTAACATGGCATTTACACTTTATGAGTTAAAGTTATTCTTGCATTTAGTATCTTTAACAAAAATTTGGGGAGGATGGATAATTTTCTCTTTAAGTTTTGAATAAATTTTACTTGAATATTTGGATTTGTAAAATTTTGAGTTTTCATATTTTTAATTAAAATTTAACTCAAAAATAGTTTACACCTGAAATTTAGGGGAATCTTTGAAAATAATTTTCTCGTGCAACATTTTCATGCTTTATATTTATATGTAGTGCATTTTGTCAGAGCAAATGTGAGTTTCTTTTAATATTAAATTTTTAGTATTTACATGAATTTTTGTCCTTGGCATCTATATGTGTAATATTTCAATTTTAAATTCTAAAAGCAATGTCTTATGTCCGCTTGTATGTATGTTGTGACTCTGGTGGCATTCTATGTCGACAAATTTTGTTTCATAAAGCATATATTTTAGCATTTTAGATAATTCTTTGTCTTCTATTGTATAATCTTTTTCATAGCAATTGGGTTTATCTTGAAAATTTTTTGCTCTTCAATCTCTCTCCTTTAATCAATTGTGAGCTGAAGGTGTTGAAAATTTATCATTCTCTTTCTCCTTCGCATTTATCACTTCATACTCTTACTCCATATCAAAATTTGTAAAGAAATTTAAATTTTAAGTTCATTGGAGTTGAACTGAATCTACAACACTGATGCAACTATTTTTTTAATGGGTTTCAATGATGTTGAGATAGCATTTCCCCCTGTATGGAATGCCTTGTGGATAACATGTTGCCATATATTTCTAAGCTTTTCTTCTGGTACTGGTTTCTGAAGAAATTTTTCAGCACCAAGTGGCAAGTACACTTCATCACAGTGTTCAAGCAACGAACTTCTGAAATAACTATACTTGGAATGTCCTTAACCATTCTCAAGGAACTTAAAGCTGGCACGACCATTGATAGCAGGAACTTCCACAGTAGCAATATGGTTATTGTTTCAATAACTATTCAAAGCCTTTAAAGTCATGTTAATGATTCAGTAACCTATTCTAACAAGAAAATCATGCAAAAAAGAATACTTTGCAGATAACAATTAGAATCAACAAAGGAAACAAAAGCAAAATTCTATTTACCCAATTTGTTGTTAGAACAATTATAGGCTTTCTTTGGAACTGTATTCATATTGCTTCTTAAAGCTGTTTTTTATAAATTTTTGTACTTGAAAGTTGCTTTAAACTATCCTAAACATCATACACATCACATACATAAGACTCAAACTTAAGACTTCTTGGTTGGTAGTCAGCACACAACCAACAGACCAATATGAGCTGTGTAGTTATTGTCATTTTAGTTGTCATGCATAAACATAAGCATAAGTGCAGTGAAAGAAAAGGAAATGTAATGGTGTAAGAAATACTAAATGCAGCCCACCTTGATCTATTGGCCATGAATCAAGAGATTTTGAGTTTGAAGCTTATATGATGTGTACGTTTTTGCGTTTAATTCGCTCAAAGTCCAAAATAAAAAATATAACATATACTATGAATTTAATTTTCCTATATTTCTTGAAAGTATGTGTCATTTTAATTTTATTATATTGTATGAAGGAGCATTTTTCAACAACCAAAAATTCACCAAAAATGTAAAAATGCTAATATTGGTCTCTTTAAACTGCTAACATTGGTTTTAAGTCTAGATTAAAAAATTGAGAAAAAATTTATTAAAACTACTAATATTTATACTACAAAATTGTTTTAAGAAGCAATAAAAAATGACCTCCCAAACAAAGCCTAAATTTTCAATTGCCTTAAAATATTAATTATTTCATATTTTTCATCCACATAACAGTCTATTATAAATTCAAAATTATTGACTTCTAATATTCATATATTGTATATGCCTAAGACATTAATTCTTCTATCATGCATGGCTTACTATAAAGTACAAAGTCCTCTATTTGAATTATTTTTAACATATTATATTTCAAAACATAAATCAATAAGTTCTTACAACATCAATTACATATACACATCATCCATTATATTCACATGTCTAAATAATCTTAATTAAAAAATGTACACAAATTTTTATAAAAAAAAATTCACACATTTCTAAAGATAATTTTATATATCATGAAATATATACATGCAAGAAAATATTTTTTTTTTCTTTGTAAAATGAATCAAAATAAACTAAAATAGGTTAACTAATTTAGTTATTAATATTTAAATTATTACAAATTTAGTACTACATATAAATAATAAAATTAATTATATATAAATATACAAATAAATTTAATTTAAAACAAACATATTTATATAAAAAAATTCATAAAGTATATGCATTCAACAAAATAGTCTTTTTTCTTTGTAAATTTAATCGAACATAGAAAAACTTAATTATTATAATTAATATCTAACTAATTAAACCAACCAAATCTAACATTGAAAAAAATTAACTCTAAAAATAAATGTAGATCTACCATTAAAAAAATTTAAGAAATTTTTTGTTCTAAAAAAAATCAAATTATGGCTCTATTAAAAAAATATAAAAAAACATGAATTTATAGTCAGAGGACCTATGGATTTAACATGATTCTTAAAAAATATAGATTTACAAAATAAAATGCTGATCCAACTACAAAATTATAGATTAAAGCTTAAAAAATACATTTAACATTAAATATGAGAAATCAACAAGTATGGAGAGCACGCATGGTGGCATTAGGTTCCCTTTAGCCTAATACACCTTTCCTAGTTGATCCAGCCTTGGGTCAACTTGGGTTAGGAATTAGGCTAACCCAAAGTGCCCAAAACCATTTTGGGTTAGGAATTAGGCCTCACCAAGACTAACCAACACTTCCATTAGATAACCCTAAACCAAAGGCACCTACCCTAGTCAGCCCAGCTCTTGGGCTGACTTGGATCAACCTCTAAGCTAGCCCAAAGCCTAAAAAATCATTTTGACTTGACCATTACTCATACCAGACTAATTCAGATCCAATTGGCACTTGCATTGGGTTCCCCTAGACCCAATGCATCTTCTACACCAAGCCCAGCCCATGACCTAACCTGGTTCTGACCCAAATGAACCCAAATGTATCCAAAACTTGGTCAACCCGAGCCATGTTGGGGTATTCAGCCACCCCTTGGCCAATTCAATCCATGGTCGGATTCACCATGAGCCTACCTACCTCCCCTATCAAGCCTAAGCCATGGCTTTACCTGGGTTGAGCCCAAATCAACCCAAACCTGGGGTCAACTCAATCCATTTCCATGAACTAGATCTCACCATACCCAATTGATCCCATGGATCGACTTACAAGACCTTTGTGGGTCTCCAAAAGGATTCTACATGTGAGGTACATAATGTAAAGGGTACGATCGCACTATCCCGTAGGACAAAACAGTCATAGGCCTTTATGCTCTATGCAAGCAGGCTAATGGAAGAGCAGATGAGATCACATATATGATTAACCATGAAGGATAAAGGTTTTCACCCACACACCTCGATGGGTAATAATATATATATGACATAATCAAAGTCATGAGATTTTTCCCATTCGATACATTATCTCGAATGAGATTTATTTGATGTGAGGATTGATTCCCCACGGGCACAAGCCCCCGTGGTTAATTATATCTTAGGTTTTGACCTAAGAAAACTCTCGATTAAGGACATTGTATTATTCCCTTCTTAATTTGGTGCGTAGAGAATGTTCCTAAGTTCTATTCTGAATAGGGTAAACTCTTCTCTTTATCTTTAACAATAATTAGATTTTTCAAGTGTATGAAAATTTTGACCAAAAATTTGAGTTTAGAAGATCGAAGATTGAATTTATTATCCTAGGAGAAATGACATATCCAGAATTTATCAGAAGTGAAAAGAGAAATACTGAGGGATATACAATCTGGGCTTATGCTTTCTTGAAGCGAGTTGCTAGCTAACATCTTAAATACAATCAATCATCCTATATATGCAAAATAAGGAGGTTCTATCTTAAGGAGTTATAATATCTAAAAATTACAGGTAATGATGGTGAAACAGAAGCAGTTATTGGTGGGGTTATTCACGTGAAGTAGTGGAACCGAAAATAATAAGAATGAAGTTATGTATACAGAGCAGAGAAGGAATGCAGAACTTTCTATAGTTGGAATCGGTAGTATATAGCAGAGCATTTCTGCACAGTGGAAAGTCTCCAATCAGCGGCACAGTGGCTAAAGGATTGTAGCATAATTTGATAGTGTTTCCTTTAGCAGAGTTCGGCACTGTTAGCTCGAGAAAATTCTGTGAAATACAAATTTAGGTAAGTAAACTTGAAATTAATTGTAGCAAGATTTGCTAAGATTTGGATGTAATTAAATTGGAACAATGTGATAAATTGTAGTTGAAATAAGTGTGCTAACAAATTTATTATGAAAACAGTGAAGGAAGATTAAAAGATCAGGCTGGAGAAGGAAGAAGAAACTTTAGGAAAAATGAAATAAAGGTAAGTAATTTTGGAATATACTTAGAGTGGATTTTCAATTAGTAGTAAAAATTCTTAAAGATGTTGTATCTTATGATATCTTTGATTAATTTGGTCATATGAAAAGAGAAATCTTCGAAGTGACTTACAATCGTAAAAGAATTCAAAATAGAGAATTGGAGGAGATCACTCACCAAGGAAGTAAGTAATGCATTCATATTCAAATAGAATGACTTCCAATTATAATCATGAAGGTTAATTTTGAACACATTAAAGTGAAATGTCCTTAAACTAGTTTAATGTATAGAAATGATATTTCATTCAAGTTTCCAAGTATGAATGACCAGTTACATAATTTCCTTAGGTAAGTGTAAAATAAGATTTTGTATATTACTCTAAATGTTGTCCTAATTGATACTGTTTTGAAAATATATCAATTTTCTTGCATATGATATGCATTTTTTTTAATTGTGTACATATTAGAACAAAAATGATTATGAAACATGTAACAATTTATGTATGACTTACGCATACTAAAGAGTTTAGTGAATATCAATTTAAAAGTAAAGTTTGGCTATAAAATGATATATGACTTACAAGTGTAGTTGGGACAAAAATGTTTTCAAACATGAGACTACATTGTAAGTGAGGCAAAATGGACCCCAAAGAAATGAGACATGCATAGCAGGTAGGGCAAAAAGGACCCCTAAAGAGACAAAAGAGACCTCTATATAATTCAATGACGATAATGTCATGTTTATCTGAGCTTCATTGAATATGTTTATGAAAGAGTAGTCAAATCTTTTAATGAGTAAAATTGATATTCAGTATTCATTTAAGAGAAAATAAAGATTAATGTTAGATGAGATTTTTATAAAATTTTCTCTAGTAATTTAACTTTTATTTATGTTTTTAATGATCTGAATTTTTTATCATACAAGTTAAATTTTTTTTTTAAGTTGCATAACTTTTTGATTCTCATAGCTCACTAGTATTTTCTTACTGGTTATTATTACAGGAAAGAGAAATAAGAAGATCATAGCATATTAAATTGTCAAGTATTCTATATGTTATATTATATTATGTTAATTTTTATCTTTGTTTGAAACCTAAACTTGAGATAGGTAAACTTCTTAGTGATGTATTACTTTGAATTTTTGTAATGGCTCTGTAAGTATTTTATGTTAAAATTTAAAGTTATTAGCTGCATCCGTTTGATGAGATGTATGAGAACTAATTTGTTATATGTTTTATAAAGATTATTAAATATTCAAAAGTATCGTCTGATTAACTAATGAAAGGTCTATATTAGTAATACTCCTTGTATTGTTAAGGAGTAGTATAGGGTGTTTGGAGAAGGATTTTGATTAAAGTATGTAAATGTATCTACATATCGCCTTGTATGGTGCATGAAATGAATGCATAAATAAAAAATATTTTTATTCATTTATTTAGAACATACATATAACCTAGGGTCTGCAAAAAAGTAAGGTGACCAGGCTCCACCTCAACAAACTTAGTTTCTACACCTATAAGACATGTAAATTTAAATGTATTTGCTTATCATCTTCTAGCTATAAATTTTTTTATATGATTCTAAAAAGGAATATCATCCAAAAGAGAGGGAATTATCTTTTGGAACCCTATATATGTATCTAAGCAAATACTTTTAAATGTATACAATTCTTGACATCTTACATTTACATTTGACTCTTTGCACATACATGTGCACCTAAGTACATTTTACTTTCGAGCCTCCTTTTACAAGCATCTTAGATACATTATATCATGGCATTTTCACTTGAGCAATAATGATATGATGCATGTATGTAGACAGGGTGCACTATGAAGCAAGGTGTATAAAGATGCATGCATAAAATTCATAATACATAAAATAAATAAACACACCAAGAATACCCTCCAAATAAGGTACCCGCATCACAGCAAAACACACCAACAGCCTAGCCTAAGGCTAGAGTTAGTGATCCAAGCAAATAAATCTAAGTGGGTGTAGCAGGCTATATAGTTTGGGTATGTCCTATATAGGGTAATTTAGTTAAAGTTTTTTTTTTTTTTTTTTTTTTTTTTTTTTTTTTTTTTTAATTTGTTGAAGGTCAAAGGAAATCTTTAATTCAAGTTTAAATATTAATGTCTTAGAGTTGATTTTAAAAGTTTATTTTTTAGTGTTTAGTTATTACTACCTTTGTTGCTCATCGGGGCCATGAGGTTTATTTCACCCTCCTTGTGGCTAACTTAATAGACTTGTATGCCCGGGTTACCCAATAGTAACTAATTTAGTTAATTTAATTGGTTGAAGATTAAGAGTTGATTAATTGGTTTATAGTTTGATTGAATTTTAGATCAATTATTATATTGTGAGTCGTGTTGAACTTTTAGTTTATCTTTTATTTTGTTCACTTTGATTATTAATTGATTATCAATTTTATTTTTTAATGATTTTAATCCAAATCTAGGTTATTAATTTTTTTCTATCCAATTTTGAGTGTACTTTGAATTAGGTGTGCGACTTAATTATAGGGAGTTTAATGAATTAGAACTTAAGTTTCACAGTCTTTCATTTTAGCATATTTTGGATCTAGATTTGTTCTTTATCATTTTTATTTATTTTATAACTCTTGAATTAAATTTTACTTTTTTAGTGAATTTTATTTGGTTAATATTCAATTAATGGTTGATTAATATATTAATTAGATTTAGTTCAAGTTTATGTTCAAATTTCATCTTTTAGTGATTAGGTATATTAGTTATGATTTGATTAATCAAAGTGAAGTAGTTTTATTTATTTGGTTTGGATTATCACTGATTTTGTTGGAGTATTAAATTATTGATTGATTATGATTATGATTAGATTAATGATGCATACTAATCCTAGGATGGGATGTCACTAAATTTTTTATGTTTAGTATTTCTCTCTTAAATGGTACATGCATCCTAAGTCTATGTTCTCTAAGACTCGTCCTTAAATGTCAATGATGTTGTATAGGATGAAACATATTGTTATTAACTCTTTAGACATTCTCGCATGTTTAAATGAGTTTTGGATTCTATAATAAATAAAAGCAATCTAGAAAAAGAAACTACTACAAGGACCTAAGGGTAGGGGATCGTACTACTATAAAGGCTCATAAGAGCTTATAAGTTTTAAGAGAACTTACAGCACCGGGGGCTATGACCCGGTGGTTCTACCTGTAGCACACCATCGGAATGAATGGAGACGACTAATACTCGTATTTATAGGCTCCTTCATCTATTGCTCCAAAAGCTCCAAATATACCTCACAAATAATGCGAAGAGAGAAGTAGGTGTCAGAATTTCATGTATTTTAATATTTAAATTCATATGCATATGAAATTCAAGATATTATATGAGAATAAGTATGTCCATAAACATGGTTTGAGAAACTAAAAGGCATACAATCATCTCAATTGTAATTAGAATTCAAAAAACACAATGAGATGATCACTAACAAAACTTATTATAAAAAAAAGGCTTATGTATATTCAACACATGGCTACTAAAACACAAAAAAGATAGTATATGTTAGAGGTTAATATATCTTGATTTTTTTTTAATTGATGTGCAAATGAAATTTGTGATGATATTTGAGTATAACTATGCATATAAACTACGTACGAAGGATTAAATGGCATCCCCTCTATGTTACACTATTCTGAAGTTTATAAAATCATCAAGTGATTTTAAAATGTTTGTGATCATATCAATCTCAATGTATTTAATTACATGCCTAAATCAGATAAAATACGCATAGAGATTCATATCTATTTGAAGACCCAAAACAACACCAATACATAAAGACATGCCGATGAATATAGTTAATTAACTTAAAAAGTCTCTAATCTTCAATGAATACATTTGCATAATAGTTTCCTAATCTTCATCCATCACTATTTTTATTTCAACTAAAATTTCAAAACCAGCATATATGACGATCGAAGCAACTAAACATATAAATAGGCACAAACAATCTCAAGAATATGCACAATCATTTGCAAAAGGAAAGGGAATTTATATAGCCTCAAATATAGTTAAGCAAAACAAAAGATTGATATGCAAACATATCTTTCGAGTAAGATTTTACAAGAGGTGAAAAATCTGCACATATATACACAACAAATAGTACATAGTATTTCCAGCAAAATATTAGTTCGCCACAAAAGTCTACATGAACGAAGATCATAACCCATTACAATTAATCTCATTTAGATTAAATAAATCTTCATTGAAAATGTTCATACATTGCTAGTTCAAACAATTAATTAGAGACTATGATGCACCGACACTCCGCTTAAGTATGCAGTGTCGGACAAGTGTCGGGCACGGACACGCGTCGGACACGGCACGAACACGTGTCCGACATGGCATTGGAGTGTCGCAATTTAAAAAATTAAAATTAAAATCGGACACGCGTGTCGGACAAGATAATGATGAATAATTTCGATTTTTAGTCCACTCTAAACAAGATAAATCTAATAGCAAGTTGCAGTATTTTATCCTTTTTTATTATTTAAATTTAACAAGACAACTACGAAATTTTTTTGTCTTCAAGCAGGATAAGTCTAACGAAAATTTCAAGATATTGCTTTCAAGTTTATCATGAACAATATTGGATTCTTATTCAAGCTCAATCAGGATGAATTTAAGAGAAATTATTGCGTGTGCGAACTCTAATTTAAACAATTCAATACATAAAATTTTCTTTAGATAACTAATTCTGAATACTATTTTGAGCATTAAAAGATTTTTTAAAATAAAACATTTTTTATTAAAGAAAATTCAGAGCCATAAAATTTTGAAAGAGGAAGATAAGTATAAGTATTTTTTAACTTGGCGAAACTCATAGTAATTCAGTAAATTAGATGAAACTATACTTGACATAAAAGAGGAATTAATTTTTAAGTCAGAACTCAGAACAAGTAATTATATCAATCATACTCGAACATAATGGAATTTTACACTTCACAATATGAGGAATATATCATTAAAATTTACTTCCACTGCCGAAACGCGTGCCGCGTGCGTCACTACCGGATCGCAGATTGGGTCGGGTCAACCCGGCTGGGTCAGATCCGGGTTGAAATGTCCGACCCGTTTGCAAAAATGGGTCGGGTTCGGGTTGAGCCGTTTAGATCCGGGTCGGGTCGGGTTCGACCCGAACCCGACGGGTTGACCCGAATTGACACCCCTATCTATACACATATAGGAGGCATTGTAGATATTTACATAAATCCACACAGAAATTTCATATTAAATAATAAGCAAATGGTCTAATAAACTAGTAGGTAAGAGCTCCACCTGGATGAGTTCTCAAGTACGGTTTGAAGCTCCCATCATCCTTTTTGCTGACCTTGACCCGAAGCATATGCTGGAAGATGTTGAAGGCCTATTTAGCTTGAGGAAAAGAGCTCCGTTGAAGCATCTCCTTGTGCTAAACGAATCTTATATTCAGTGACCACCAATTACCAGTTTTATCCTCAAGTAAAGCTCATGGATATGTAATCCTCTCAGTTGGGTATAGATGAGACAAGCAGCAAGTGGTTGAGGTGGCTGTTGACCGCATTTTTGTATGAGGTCATTAAGGATCCATCCAGATCCCAGATCAATCCAGACCTCAAATCAATCCTGACACCAATTCAAACCTCATCTCAATTCAATCCAACCCTTAATCAAAATCCAGACTTCAGTCCTGTTCAGAATCCAGACTTCAGCCTATATCATACCTTTGATCTAACATCAATCCTATCCAATCAATTATGATCATTTAAATGATCATGAAGGATTTAGATAATTCAAATCCAATCAATCAAGCTCAAAATCCAGACCAAATCCAAAAATCTAGACTCAAAACCTAAGTCTAAGGGCCTTGTCCTAAAGGCCTTTTCTAGGGATTTTTCAAACACTTCAAAACCCTATCAAATGACCTCTGATTCAGGGTCTGTCAGTTGCATACTGATGGAACATGTCTTTGGAGGCAACCCTCCAAATTTGATCTCATTCTGAGGTCTTTAACCCCAGAAACTTAATCAAAATCCAAAGGCTGTAAAACCTTCAAATATTTACAGCCCATGCCACTGGACTTGCCATTAAGAAGATTATGATCCTAGAGCTTTCTCCAAAGCCTCTAGTCACCTCCAGACCCTTGATTATGATTCATTGAACATTAAACTGTATTTTTCTATAGCGGTAGAATTTTATCTGGAGTTTCAAAGTTCAACATCAAAGGAAGTTAAGGGTTGGAAATTCAAGTTGGATTGGTTTCAAAATTGAGACTTATTTCTAGAGATCAAAGGAAAAAGGGTAGGGAGTGTTTTGAAATTTTGAATTACTTCAGATAACACTCCAACCCTATCCTAAGTATTTGGGCTCTCGGAATTAGATTGAAAGTGATTTAGGTTAGGTGATCATTTTATTAGAAAATTGGGATTTAGATTCCCGGAGGTTTGAGATCTTATAGCCCGAACTAGCCTCAGAACCTAAATTCTAAATTGGGTACTAAAAAGTGACCTGAACCACTAGCTAATGTAGTGTAATCTGGACATTTACCCCCGGCCTGGATTGGGGAGCCAGCTAACCACCTAATCGATTTTAAAAATAAATGAATCCTGGTCTTTTATGAAAGAGTGATAGGGATGTTATTTAAGAAAAAGTTTGAAAGTTGGGGCCAACATCTAGATCAGAATCCCTAATTGGCCCCTAAGACTTTTATGTTGGGTGTTTGATGCTTAAGCTAACAAATGCGATTAAAGATTAGACTCATTTAATTTGTTACTAAATGCAATGCAATGCTGATTGACTCGATTGAATGCTTGAAATTTGAATGAAAGGATTTTGAAAATGAGAAACTCCCGGCGGTCCCGGGCTTTCTTACTCTTAAAATGTTAGAATTCTATGTTGGCTCTTAAAATTTTTAATTTGATTTAAGTAGAAAAGTTTTTAATGAGTCCTTAAGAGCTACGATCGGGTTCCAGGCTAAATCAAAAATCGACATGCAAGAATCGCCAAAAAACTACAAAAAGCAGGCAATCCTATACGCGCAATCAACATCAACATTAATCAATCAATTAAATTAATATTCAAATTGAAAGTCCATAGGCAAGTGCCTTGCTTATTACAACCAGGGTCTGCTTGAAAGTAAGTGGCCGGGCACCACTGACAACAACTCGGGTTCTAAAACCTAGGACTCAAGTGACTTTGAGATTTGGGATTCTTCTCGTCATCACATATTCTTCTTGTCTTCTCACGAATATACTTGATTCGTCGGTTCTGGATATCCAAATTAAAGAAACTCCCCCTTGAATGGGTGTTATCTTTCCTCTTGGAATATTTGAAGAGCATCCAAACTTTGATCTTCCAAATGGACACAAAAACTCTCCCCTTTAGGGTTAGGGATGTCTTCTTCCTCTTTGGAATTCAAGTTGGGATCTTAAACATCCCAACTCAAGTCATTTAAAATACAATTCAAATTTAAATATCAAATTACATTAAGCAAAATTGAAAAAGTCTAGACTCGATCCTGCAGGATTATCTAATAATCAACAGTATATAAATAATCTCAAGCAGTTAATATTCAATATCAAGCAGTTGATATATTTTGAATTTTAAATGCTCAACAGCAGTGCAAGTTAAATAAATAAACAGACATTCAATCAATTCTAAGCTACAACCAGCAATGCAGTGAAAGCTCGAAAACCCGGCACAGTCATAGCACAGCAGAAAGTAAACATCGCCCTAAGCCTAAAACTAGAGTTGGTTGTCCTATCAAACCATCTAAAGTGTGTGAGGTAGGCCGTGTGTTTGGATATGTCCTAAGAAGGGAAATTGTTAAAGTTGTTCGAAGTTCTGGTGGTTGAAAAGGTAAGGAAGATTTAAATTTGAAGTTTAAGTTATTAATGATTTTGAAATTGATTTTAAGGTTGATTAATGATTTCTGAATTTTTTAGAGTGATTTTGAGTTTTTAGGAATTTTCTGGATATTTCTAATCACTTACTCAAGGGGACGCAAAATTTACTTTTCAATTATGAGTGCTTTTTAGAAATTTAATATTTATATTAAAATACTAGATCTTAATACGATCAATTAGAAGGTAGTAAGCATGAAATCGGATTTTTTCTACAATTAGTTATGAAGGTTTGAAGTTTTTGAACTAATTTTAACCTATATTTGGACCAAAAAGGTTGACTTTTTTGACTTTGAGCTGATTTTTGAAAGGTTTGAAATTTTTAATAAATACTAGATCTTGATTTTGAGTTGAATGCAAGTGAGTTTGGTCAATTTGGAGTTTTTCTTGACTTAGTTATGATTTTCAAAGTTTGAAGTATTTATGGAATTTATTTAATATTTTTTATATTAGAAGGGTTTTCTTGATTTTGCTCCAAATGAATTCCAAACCTCCTTGAAATCAACTCCAAAGGTCAGGAATGACCCATAAAGAAGATTATCATCAAGTTTTTGGGAATTTTTTGGAATTTTTAATTATTATTTAATTATTTTATTTTAATTAAATATTGGTTTTCAATAAATAAATAAATTAAATTAATTAAGGTTTTGATTTGATGTTTGATCAAGGGAGATTTATATTTTCCCGCCCACAACATGAATTTAAG